GATTTTTTGGAAAATCGGCTGACTAAGCCGGCTAAGTCGATAAAAATCGACTATGCGAAATCGACTACAAACACTAATGACTTAATTTATTTCTGTATTTATACCTCAATCCGGGGATCAATCCGGTTTTATTAGGCCCAATCCGATCCCACGGTTCGGGTCGGATGATATTCTTTTACATAAACAAAATAAAATCAATTTTAAGTAATGATTTACTTATGATAACAATCTTTTTATATAACAACTTTTTTATTAAATGTACTGTACTGTATTCTATCCAAAAATCAAATAAAAAAATTTTTCAAAAAAATGTAAAAATGGGCTGTTTCTATTGACAATACCCCATATAAGCACAATATTTTTGAAACTAAGTGTGTGATTATAGAAAGGTTTGACTGTATCTGAATAGTTTTTTTAAAATCTATGTAAAATTTTTTGAAATTAGCATTGTATGGTCTACTATATATTTGTTTGTTATAACTTATTGCAAGACAATACACATCTAGATTATTCAAATATAACTGCACAAAATTTATATAAGAAAAGTGCAATTACTACACTAATTATCAAACCAATAGCATTCAGTATGAGGCCCTGCCATTTCCATCTTCGTACGGCATCAGAATACCTTACTGTCGAAAAACTCACCATTGTATACAATGGTATTATTATCGTTGGAAACAACCAATGTAATGAACCTTCAATCTTCCTCTTTATTAAATACCAAGGATTTACTACCTCAGATCTCATCTCAACATAATTATACATTGCCAAGTCACAAATTGCCATTGTATCTTCTTGACGAAATTTTGTGTATTCCTCCAATGCCAGATCCAAATAGTCATTATTATAGGCGGTGACATTGAATCTTTCAAGGATGCTGTCAAGTAGCTCAACATCTTGAAATCCGCAATTCATACCCTGTCCATAAAAGGGCACCATGCAATGAGCAGCATCTCCTATAATTATTGCTCTGTTTCGATAGTGATAAGGTTTGCACTGTATTATGGAAAGTTAAATCTGATTTATTCCAACTTTTTCATGGATGAAATTTCACATTGTAGTATTAGCATGAAAGGATATATATATATCACCTTGATAGACATCAAAGATCCCCTTGGGTTACTAAAATATTCTTTAAGTCGTTGTTCGCCTATTAAAGGAATGGAATCCGGAAAATACAGTTCAAAGAAATTTATCAATTCATTTTCTGTTTTTATAGCATCAAAACTTTTATTTGGCATGAAAAGAGTGCAGGTGAATGATTTGTCCTACAATAAAAAAAAAAAAGAAACCTTTTAATAATGGCATTAAAATTTTTCAAGCCTTCTCACAAACGTTATGTACCAAATTTGGTAAAGCAATCATCATGAAAGTATGTCTCGGCCAAATATGCAAGTGATTAGGATCCATGGCAAATTTTGAATCTCCTTTGTCATCGATAATCGGAGGAATGGTCAGTTCGCAATATGCATGTGTAATATATTCTTGATGATAATCCATACTGCAAAATGAAACTCGATATAAATTAACAATTCAAGAACAAAAGATGATAACAATGACACATACTTAACTACACGCATCAATTGAGATCTAACAGATGAATAAGCACCATCAGCACCAATAATAAGATCGGCGGTGTGCTGAACTTTTACTTCTTCTGCCCTAATCAAGAAATGAAAGTAGTACAATAATAAGTCGAATGTTCAAATTTGTAATGTGAAACCAATTCTGTCTTACCAGTTCTCAAATTCTAGTGATCCAGAATCAAAGTTACAAGTTTTCATTCGATGTTGGAAATAGATCTTTATATTTGTAAATTTCTTTGTAGTATTGAGAAGCAATTCAAGAAGTGCCTTCCTTCCTACTGAATAAATACACTATAGAAAACTGGTTAAAAACGTGTTTTTAAAAATTTGAATCAATATGTTTATGAAAAGTTAGTATAACTATACCTCTCCAAAGATACCGTATGGTTGACTCCTGAGCTCACCTTTGTCTATATGGATCATCCTCCCCTTCATGGGGATAACGAAATTTAATATAATTTCATCAAGATTTAAGCCAGTATTTGCCAATGCACTTAGTCCTCGAGCTGACAAAGCTAGGTTTATCGACTTTTGTGAAAATCTATCTTGATTTCCCGTAATCCTAGGGTCTGATGATAACGCTTGTATATAAAATATAATAATGTCATAAACATTGAATAAAACTGTTATTTTATAATGATACCTTTGCGAAGCTCAAAAAGATCAACATTCCAGTCACGTTTTGCAAAATAAAGTGCAGCAAGGGTACCGACAAGTCCACCGCCCACGATGGCAACACGACGTCTTGGAACCTTTGACTGTGTGAGCACCATGACAAGGGTTTTCAAGGACAAATAATACAACTAAGAATTGAGTTTTGTCCACTTTAAAAATCATAACTTTATCTATTTTAGGCTTGATTTTTGATTTATAATTAAACATACAATATATAAATTGTAATCAAAGATATAACGATCCTTAAAGCGGGACAAATTGCCGAATTGCTCAAAAATATCCGGTGATTTTCACACCTTTAAATAGGTTCTGGCCCCGTATTTATTATTGGTTCAGTCAGCCCATCCTTCGGTAATTAATTAATATGCGATATCTAAGTAAGAATTTTATATACAAAACTTCAAAAACTTAGAAAAAAATATATAAAAACATATAATAGGTGCAAAACCACCATAGGTGCGTTTTATAATTAAAATGAAAAATTATAAGTCGTGAGACCGTATTCTACCGTGAATAAGCACCACACTCTCTACCCCACTTTTTTAAATATCAGATTAGCGGGAATAATTTGGTTAAAGACTTCATTGCAATTTCCGCTAATCTGACATTTAAAAAGTGGGGTAGAGGGTGTAGTGCTTATTTACGGTAGGATACGGTAGCCAGTTTTTATGATAATGTTGCATATGTGGTAAAACACCACAGGTGCGTTTTAGTAAAAGTGATTTAATATTATAGACTAAATGCATAAACTATTCAATTTGCAACTCTTTTTGAAGTCAACCTTTTAGAATAGAATTGCCCTTGCATTCACTTGATCAAATCGATCAACATTATTTTATAAACTTATAGAATTAAAAGCCAAGTAATCTTTGTTCAAAGTTTAGGCATCTATAAAAAAGAAGTTGTAGCTGATTTTAAAACATTAATAAAATTTCTCAACAACAACCTATCCAATTTCGATTATTTTAACTCTATAACGTACATCGAATTTGAATCGATAATTATTGAGAAATCCTCATTTAAAAGTTTTTAAAAAATTTTTTTAAAAAAATATTGCAATAAACTTTTTATTTAAATTTTCAATGAAGATTTCTTATCAATTATTGATTCGAATTCGATGAAATTTTTTTTATTTTATTTTGCTAAATGTTCAAAAAAAAAAAAATTGTTTTTTTTTTATAGGTATCTACTTCGAAGATTACTCGGCATTTACCTGACCAAATTCTATCAATTATTTTTTATTTTAATTTCATAAGTTTATAAACATAAAATAAAAAAATTTTGATCGGGTTTAATCAAATGAGTGCTGAGTAATCTTTATTCAAAGCTTAGAGATCTATCAAAAAGAAGCTATGACTAATTTTTTTTTAAATTTTTAGTAAAATTTTTCATTCAATTGTATAAACACTGTTGATTAATTAAGAGAACAAACTAAATTGCCTACTTTTTATTAAAAAAACTTTGTAGAATAGTAGAAGGAGAAAAATACCAACTTGTAGAGAGCTAGTAAGAGTTATACTATATAGAGTATTATAACTAACTAAATAACTACTTCTGCCAAAGCTTTAATAGTACCGTATTTTCGCGTAATAACGCTCATGAGCGTTATTTCGAAAATCATGCCCCCTAAAATTAATATATATAGTTTCGAAATAACGCTCATGCGCGTCCCAAAATAGCGCGCACCCCATAGTAAGGAATGTTTATTTATAGTAAGATTTAAAAATATTTCGGAACTGGATTTAGTACTAAGTAAACCTTCGAACTTCAACAAAGTTGTTTTTCAGAACTTTTGTTAAAGCACGAAGGAAGGTTACTTAGTACTAAATCTAGTTGTTTATTTTTATACAAGAATTATATAAATTTTTTAATTGTCTCAAAATAACGCTCATGCGCATACTCGAAATAACGCACATATACTCAAAATAATGCGCAGGTGAGCATTATTACGCAAATATTTAACAAAGCTCTAGAGTAGTAATTGAATTTGTTAAAAAAATCACTATCCAGATTACCCGCAAGTAAACTTATAAGCTACCCAAATAATATCTAGGTAAGTTAAAAAAAGCAACTGATAAATAGACTCAAGTAAAACTCAAGTAGATATACAAAATATTATTGATATATCAAATACAGTACATAAATATATTTCTTGTCTTTGCTTTGAACCTTTTGACTAGAGCTTCAACCCTATTTTTAACAAGTAGATTATATATAAAGCTAGCTTTGTATAGTAGCATATAGTATCTTTAGATTTGTTATTTAAGTTCTTTAATTAATATAAGTAAAAATTTTTAAATCTATTAAAATTTAAAGATCAATTCAAAAAGTTAAATTAAAGATCAAAGCTTTACTTTTAACTTATTTATTTTTTTTGAATAAAATAATCTGAACTAAAGATATATATTAGTTTCTTGTTTTTTTTTATAACTTCTATATATATATTGTATCTATATATATATATATATATTTTTAAATACTAAGGTGACCACTTAGGCTCCTGGCACATAGCTTTATTCAGATAGTTACAATATTACATCAAATTCATAAGAATACAACTAGTCACACATGTACCTTTTGAGTATTTAATTAAGTAGTCCACAACTAAGCTATTTTTAACCTAGAGTTCTATACTAGCTATTATACCTATAATCCAACTAGAAAGTTACTCATTTAAATCCTCTGGCTCTATTTTTGTAACATACTACTTTTTGAGATTAGCAATGCTATAGAATAACTCTAAGACTTTAGCCACATAGGCATTTATCTTTAGTAGAGCAGTCTTATAAGACTGCTCTACTTACATTATAATGCTACCTACTTATAATTATAATGCTATCTGCTTATAGTTATAATGCTATCTACATATAGTTATAGTGCTATCTACTTTAGTATTTTTAATGCTTTGTGGTCTTTTGAAGGTTAAATTAGTTAGTTTTTGATATCAGTCCTATGTGCTGGTTTGGGAGTCAGGTTGGTTGATTTTTAATATCGGTCTTGTGTGTTGGTTTAGAGATTGGCTTGATTACTTTTTAGTATCAGCCTTGCATGCCGGTTCAGATGCCAGCTTGGTTATCTTATTTGCTTTCTCTTGGATGCTAGTTTGAAGATCATCTTGGTTATTTTATTTACTTTGCCTTGGGTGCTGGTTTGAAGATCAGCTTGGTTATCTTATTTGCTTCACTTGAGTGCAATCTTATTTGCTCCGCTTGGGTGCTGGTTTGAAGATCAACTTGGTTATTTTATTTGCTTCACCTTGAGTACCATCTTGATTATCTTATTTTATCCTTCTTGAGTATTAATATGGTGGCTATCTTGGTTTTCTTATTTGCTCCACTTTGGGTTCCAGTTTGGGGCCTACTTTATTTTTGTGAATGCAGGTCTTGATGCTTTTTTATTGCAAAAAAAAATCATATGCATGTGAATAATTGTTCATGCTGATCTTGCAATTCTTTTTTACCTATCATAGTTGGTCCTTTCATTTGCTGAGGTGAGGCACAAAATGCTATTTCTGCAATCTATTATTTGTTAATAACATGTTAAATCTTTTTGCTATTTTTTGTTTGCTAATAAGGCATATATAAAGTGCTGATATTGTGCTATCCTTGCCATTCTGCCTTTTATGACACTTTCAATTGCCAAAGTTGAGACACATAGTGCTGAATTGGTTTAGGCTTTACTGCTTTCATATCCTTTTTTCTTGTATTCTTTTGAACCTTCCTGCCTTCCTGATCCCTTTCTTGCCTATCGGTGGTGATCCACTTAAGTGTAACTTTTTTTTTTCTTTTCTATATATAATTCTGCTTGAGTGGGTCACCAAAAATTCATATATTTCAGATTTTAGACTTTGTTTCTGTATAATTACTACTTCAGAATATTATTATATTGATTGCTTTGAAGTATTATTTAGTATATTTATTACATACTTATGCTAGTATTCAGATTAGAGGCCAAATAAAGCTTTATACATTTTTATTTCATTTTCGAATTATATATATTACATTTTTTATTTTAAAGATTTAGAAATTTTTATATAAATTTATATTAGTTTCCTCTATATACCATTAGCAAAAAAAATAGACCGATATATATCGATTACTAGCCGGGTAATTATATATTGATACCAATCACCCCTGCCGATTACATATGATCGTGATAGTAATCGATATATAGCGAATTCGTTTACTAGCGGTAATACTAAATATCGCTATATATCCAATTCGATTAATAGCGATATTTGATAGCATTCGATTATAATCA